CCAATCAGAGCACACCTCACTTTTCAGACCGATGAGCTTTGTAAAAATCGACGCGTTTCAGAAAGGCGGGGCATTTAGGAGAAACAATAATGTGTTTTTTGAACCTTAAACCGCATTAACACATTTCATTACACCAAATACACAAAATAATGTTCTTTTTAGCAACATCATATGACCCCTTTAATATATAGTTTATTTATAGCTATTTCCAAATCTTTAATGTACTGTCATTATAAAAGAACTTTATTATTGTTTATTTAATCCAAACAAATAAGTTCTTGTTAAAAACTAACCAAAATTAAAAATAATTATATATCGGTATCGGCATCGGCTATCGGCCAAATTGAGTATCAAATTATTGGCATATCGGATATCGGCAAAAGTCCAATATCGTGCATCCCTAGTTGTAATACCTGACAAAATTGTACAGCAAGGTTTAGTATACTGTTTGCAACACTAGACTTTTCCAGACTACCTTAAATCTTGATAAAGCCAGGAATTACCCTGAAATGGAACAACTTAGCCATACAAAACATCAGTTTGTATCTCACATAGGGGTGTGCGATATATATCGTCTGCGATAATATCGTGATTGTTGTTTTAACGATGTGCGATTTGACATTATCGAGTATATTACAAAAAACAAACAAAACACACCTACAGAGTGCACACATACATGACGTGAAGTTTAGTAGGTTAGACTAGTGCGTGTGCGCATTTAGAGTGCGTTCTTTCACTGCGTAATTCAGTCTATTAAAATGCATTTTGAATGAACACAAAATTCAAGATACGGGGATATACATATAACTAAGAGATATACATATATATATTAGGGATGTGCATCTCATGACTGATGCCGATACGATACGCATCTCGATGCATAGCCAATGATACGATACATTAAAGATACATATGAAGCAGCTACCGATGCGATGCGATGCGATACACCCCTATTATGATGCAGTGCGATCCGATTTCGATTCGATTCAACACAATGCGATTCAATGCAATACGATGCAATGGAAAAAATATGATCACTTTTAATGCCTCAAGGCCTGTTTCATAAAACAAGTTTACCAAATAAGCCAGGCTTATTTCAGTTAGTCTGACTCATTGTCAAATGATTTGGTTCCATAAAGCAAATTTAACATAGATCAACTTCAGTCACTGTGGCAACTTATACTGGGAAACTATCAGACTAAGCGGAGTTCCTCTAACACTGACCAATAGGAACGCTATTATTTGATTTTTTTTTTACAGTTTCTAGCCAAGCAGAAATGCTCTTTCTGGTTTTATGACAGCTGTACCTTTGCAGAACAGATAGCAGAACATTACAATCTACAATTGTTCTTTAAAGCATTAAAATAACTAAATTAAAAGTTAAAATCACTGAATTAAAAAGAAAATAAATAATAAAGAAAATGACTTCTAAACTGCTATAAGAAACACACATTAACTCATTTGAGCTTAGTAATTAGTAGCCTACTGAACTAGCTTACATTTGATTTATCCATTACAATAGTCCCTTTACAGTTACTGCTATCATGAAAATACACTTATATGAAGGTTTAAAATTCTACAAAATGCACATTTAATGTCCAACAACAAATATTTTAGCAAAATGTGTATTTTACTCAGAATTATTGCGCTCCTATTCGATTGCACTCTCTGTTTAGCGCGCATGTGCACAGCAGCGCTCGTTCACTCGCGTCAGCCTCGCCCACTCCTTACAGCAAAATGGATATGTCTGCATGACTTTCTAACATTTACAGATGAAAAATATACCTATGACATGTCAGTTATGCACGGAGGAAAACACAACGTCTCAAATGCATTAAACAGCACAAATTTATTCGCTGTTTGCCATGGTGGATCGATTTGATCCATCGACATTAAGGGATGATTAAGAATAAGTGTGCACAAATTAGTGAGATTGCGTGAACTTAAATTGTCATTTAAGGAAGCGCTTTAGCCGATTGATTTGTTAGGTTATTTCATGTAAGGTTTTAGACTTTAATACCCGCTTTTCTTAGCATCTTTTAAATATCGCATGCGATTTATCGTGCAGCCCTAATCAACATTAAGGGCTGCTTAAGAATAAGCGTGCACAAATGAGTCAGATTGTGTGAACTTAATTTGTCGTTTATGGAACCGCTTTAGCCCAGATTGATTTGTTAGGTTATTTGAGGTCAGGTTTTGGACTTTAATCCAATGCATCACGATACAAATGCTGACTTGTAGCAGATACACACTTTTTAAATCGATGCATCGCATCGTTAACTTTTTATGCCGATGCACCGAGCGAATCGGGGAATCTTCCCATCCCTAATATATA